GCCCCGACCTAAGCCCTAATGATTTCTATACTTTCCCTAAAATAAGGAATAAATTGCGTGGACAGAGATTTTCATCACCTGAAGAAGCTGTGGACGCCTACAAAACGGCCATTTTGGAGACCCCAACTTCCGAATGGAATGGTTGCTTCAATGATTGGTTCCATCGTATGGAAAAATGTGTCAAATTTCGCGGAGAATACTTCGAAAAGCAATAAATACATTTTTAAATAGTAATGTTGGTGTAACTTCCTTGATTCCCGAAATTTTCAGTGCCGCCCTCGTACTAATATAGCTGCAGCATGACTCTACCACGGAAATTATGTTCGCTGAATTAAACCCAATTATTGTCATTACAATTGAATCTACTACATTTCTATGATTAAATTAGTTCATTATATTATAATTATATTAGAATACTTAACATTGATTGTATTGTCACTGAATATAGTATATGTAGTATTTCCTGCAGTATGGTACATATACAATAATTAGTTTATATATATATATATATATATGTTCACTACGACGTGGATGCATAAGTTATACGAAATAAATGAAATTAACACTTAGAAACCTTATCGTTCGTACTAATCCTTTTTAAGCTTCCACTTAAATAGCTGACTTAAACTTTGTCAACGCAGACAGTCGAGGCAACAAGTGATCACTAGTCCAGTGATAATACTAATAGACTATCAAATTTTTGTTAACATACGAGTTACCTAGGTGTTTTCGAAAAGGGACTCTATTCGTATGATATGTACTCTGAGAGCCTCAAGGCCTATTACTCCTTATTGGTAACCTCGTGATCATGACGCACTGAATTATACTCGTACCTAAGAGACATGATTGCGAAGCTAGATCACAACTCCTTATTTTACCCCTTTGTACCCCCATATTTCATAGTAATTAAGTCTTTAGCTGCAATAACAAGTGTTTATGTGGCTTACAAATATTTTTTCGAATCTATCATACTTTTATGCACACTTTATTTGTTTATATATGTAGCTTTGTAGAGGCACTCTGGTTTTAATTACGGGTGCAGCGCGAATGGTCGGTAGGTACTACTAGGGCTGGTTAGAAAATCAGCGTAAAATATAAGTGCAGTGATTCATGTTGTGAGTGATGGAGATCGTAGATCCATTATGGATGCAGCACGAATGGTCGGTAGGTGCGACTTGGGCAGGATATAAAATCAACGTAAAATATAAGTGGAGTGATTCATATTGTGAGTGATGTAGATCGTAGATCCATTTTACGGGTAAAGAGGCACTCTACCTTAATTCTTATTAGTGACAATGCATCTAAATTGTTATTATGAATAGAGAAAGGATGTATAAATCAAATCACACTTACTATCAGATGGTATGTGTACTTGTTTGTTATTGTATTATTGAAAATTAAACGTAAAATAATTATAGCCGTATACAACAATTACAATAATCATCTACAGTTTGCAAGCAGTCCACCATTGGGCATAAATGGTGAATAAATGCTAATATTGCCATCACCTTGTACAATCTGGAACCTCTGACATAGCTTTGTTTAACCATCCTCAATCTAAATAGGCTAATAAACCAAAAATACTCTGCAATTAAATTCCATCAATCTGATAACGGTGAATACCTTTAAAATAATTTACATAAGTCTATCGAGGTAGGACTGGAAAATCTGCCAGTTAAAGGTATGGTAAACATAACACAATATTTTAATACGATTTTCCTTTTAAAATGTTAAAGATTGTATGCTGCAACACTAAGTTAAAAGGTTTTGTTTCGGTTCAAAATATATGTCAATATATAACATACAAAGACCAAGTTGTGTTATCAAGATAAGTAGAATATAAATTTCTTTATACAGAATTTTATATGTGTGTTAGTTTAGTTTAGTTTTATATGAGTTAAAATGACTTACATTTTATAATAAACAATATTTGTTTCTTTGGTTTGTTATTGGCTAAATTACCAATGTAACTACTAAAATGTAACTATTTCAGGAATAAGACTGAAAAAAAACGAATTGAAAACATTTCTTAAGACTTTATTTTTAGTAGAATTAATTGCCAAAAGCTATTTATCATTTAATACTTTTTTCAATAGTGGAACATGAACAATAATTTTATAGGATAAGAGCGCACAGTCCACCTGATGGTAACATCTTCTTCTATACACGATTCTGAATCAAAATTCAGATGCGTTGTGACCCCTGAAGACTAAGACGGAATGCGGCGTTTCCAGTAAAAAGGGTCTCCGGTTCTCTACACTCACCATACGAAACGCAGCAGCGTTAAACTGCTATTTTACGCATAATTAATACTATATTATTATAAACTATGTAAATATTCCTACTCCAATTTTGAGATATAATGCCATGTTGATTATATCGGAGATGGACCAGTTAGCTTTATTTTCTAGTCAAGGAAATTAATTACCTTTATTTGTTTAAGAATTGATAGATAGGATTAATTATTAGCAAAAGATCTTCAGATTAAATACTTCTTAATCAAAATGGACAATTTAAATTAATCTAAGGTTACAATTGACACATACTGTTTCAAGCAAAACCCAGCGTTTAGTTTTAAAGACATTTCAGTTAAATTAATTTTGTAATATTTTAGAGATATTTCGAAATGTTTGTTACTCTGTTTGTATATTAATTTGTTATATATAATATTTCATGGTGGTTTAGTTAAAGCCAGCTTTCACCGATTAAGCAATAAAATATTTTATACAAGATTTAGGTCTGAGTGCATGTTTCGATCTTTATTGGGATGTCCTATCTGATAAGTTTCGAAAGTGTATATAATGAAAACAACATTTCTTTTTCGAACGAGAACATAGTCCATACGTGGATTCTGCGACCTTTATAATCTATCCTCGATTCTGATCTGATATTAAAATTTTCACCAAATAACAGGTAGGTAACCGCCGCGGCCCGTAATATCTACAACACCGGGAGTATCGAGTAGGAGTTGCGGTCCGGGTTTTTCAAGAAAGACTAGGCTTTTACTTAAAGGTTCCTCAATCAAGTTTTATTGAAATCGCTATTGACAGTAGATTCCACAAAGTAAGCGTGCGGTTCAAAATATTTCGCTAAAAGCAGACTGTGGTGGACTACTAACCGACGAAATTGTAAATAAATGTAATAATAAATAAATGTTATGTTATATTAAAAGTTCCTATAATATAAATAATTTACTTATGCCCGGACGTGAGTCTGAGCGAGATTAAAATGGCACAGCACCTTAAAAACGGCAAGACCCCGGGCGGGGATGGAATTACAGCTGAGCTTCTGAAAGCGGGTGGAACACCGGTACTTGAAGTCCTTCAGAAGCTCTTCAATTCCGTCCTCCATGGTGGCACTACTCCGGAGGCGTGGAGCAGAAGCACGGTGGTCTTGTTCTTTAAGAAAGGCGACAACGCTCTCTTGAAGAACTACAGACCGATTTCCCTTCTAAGCCGCGTCTACGTGCTGTTTTCGAGAGTCATTACGAATCGTCTCGCACGCAGACTCGACAACTTCCAGCCTCCCGAACAAGCCGGTTTCCGAAAAGGCTTCAATACCATAGACCACATACATACCCTGCGGCAGATTGTACAGAAGACCGAAGAGTACAATCTGCCACTTTGCCTGGCATATGTGGACTATGAGAAAGCCTTTGATTCCGTCGAAATTTGGGCGGCCCTTCAGCGGTGCCAAGTTGACTGTCGGTATATCGAAGTCCTGAAGTGTTTGTACAGTAGGCTACTCTGTGAGAGCATGGTCATGGACTTATAAGTCAGTTTGCCACTTCAGTTTTATAAAAAAATAGAGGTAAATATATTACTTAATACACATTTACTACAAAACTAAAAATATATTTCATGAAACTAGAATATTGAATATCGGAAGCGTTTGAAATAAAACACCGGAAATCGTATCTTTGGAGTTTAGCACGAAACGTTTATAAGTAACGCCTTTATTCAAATCAACTGCAACTAGGTTAAAAATAGAGAGCATTTTGTCAGTTCGTCCCTGACAAAATTGATTTAAAGCGATAAATTTAAAAGTGATTGAAATAATTTGTATTAGTCATTTAATTAATTTAAAAAATACATCGTTTTCCTTATAACAGTAATACTATTTGGAAATTATCTACAACCGTAAATTATTGTAAAAAATTACAGGCATTATACAACAAAAAATATAATATAGAACCACTTGTGAGTTTTTATTAGTTTACAACAATGATATTTTGGTAATCATTAATTTTCACGTATGTAAAATGATCAAAATTTGTTGTTATAATTAATTTAAATTCAATATTTCCATGTTAATTTGTTAACATAATTAATTTAACAAATTATTAATATAATCAACAAAGTTTTCACAATGTCTCACATTCTGTTATAAGTCTAAATTAAAAAACTATTATACCTATTTTAAACTATTATCATTATATTATCATATTGCACACAACATTTTTGGCAGATATTTGTTAATATTACATGAATATATTTGCCTTTATAATAATTACTATAATAATTTATTCCATTCATATTCAATCGTAAGATTGCGACGGAACTTATAACTTATAAGCCTATGATATATATATTTATGAAACTGATTATGAATATTTCTTTAATAATGTTTAACATGAATTCCGTAAAAAGGTAAAATTTATGTCACCCTCATAAGTCTTCTTCGGTATTATTAAAAAACCCCGTAAACATAACTCTTAAGAACTTTATAACATTTATAGCATACGGAATACTTTCGATTTAAATATAAGAAGAGCAGTTTAAGTGTTAGGTATATAAAATAACTTTAATCAATTTATTTGCTTACTTTGGAGATAATGTATAATTCGTATCAAGCATCAATATCAGTAAGAAAAGATATGAATGTGCCCCAATTATATACGCTGAGTGTTTTGAAACTATTCCGTTCAGTATTTAGTGAAAGCGGTATGATATTGAGTCATTTTGTATGTGATAGCTTACTTTTCGATGCGGAAAACTAACCTGCGAGGCCGGCGGATATGAGTAGCCAAATTGTGCGTACGCTGCCATGGGGAGGATCATATGGGCGGCTTCACACAAAACACTGTCTCTAGAAGTCTATAGCACGAACTACAAGTTCCTTACGGGTACCTACTACGTAAACGAATTAAGTTAGTATATCACAGTTAATGTATGTATGCGCGGCGGCTGCGCGGCGCGCTGCCATCCCTGCACGTCAGGGAGCCGGGGCGCGCGCACCTCGCATGCCTCGTGCTCGTGCCCGACCGGACGACACCTTCACACGTTCGAATCCCGACACAGACTGGCGCGCGCCCGACGCCTAACGCCCCTCCGACGTAGGACTGAGCGATTTACACTCCACCCCAAAGGCGGACCCTACATCCAACAACCAATCCAATCCGTAATTCTCTATCCCTCTCGAAACGCAAACTCGCAACGCATTCGTCCATTCGATCCCCTCTCCTTTTCACAGTCCCGCCCACGCATTTTGCCCCGCCTACACGTGAGTGGGGGGCGAAGGAAAAAGCGGCAGTCGGCCCGACTTGATCATGTTTATGGGTTTTCGGCGAGACAGTCGCGCTCGACCGCGAGCAAACAAATCTCTTGTGGCAAAAAATGGCTCGGCCGAGGACAAGTTGTTTCACCTCGTCCGATTTACGAACAACGTCGTGTAGTCTCGAGAATCGACTTTATCGATTCGACCACCTGTGAAAGGTGTACCTTATCGATGTTCACTATGCACTGCACTATGCCTTATTAGAACAAAGGGGTGACGATACGCGTGGATATTTTCTAGTAGATAAACCTATTAATTGTTTAGATAAGCATTTATAATAAGCATGTCCCTCTGATCGACATAAAATATCGTACCCGTCATCCAAAAATAATGTTAGACATCTGCGTCTAATACGAAGTTATAAATATGAGTTGATTTAACGATATTCAATTTATTTTATTAAAATATTTTCGAGGATGTAGCTATGTAATAAAGCAATCAAATAAAAGCGCGACTAAAGTAAACGTAAATTATTTTCATATCTCTGTGATTTATATAAAATTCAAGATTAATGTTTATATTTATGAAACCTGAAATAGACAGTTACTTGTATTATTCATTAAGGGATTTCTTAATGAGGGGAATAAAAAAAATTGATTTATATGTTTTAATATGCTTGATGAAATGAATGCTACAAAAACGTAACGCGTCCGTTTATTTTCAAAATAGCAGTTGTACCTAGATTTTAAATTTAATATAGAAAAACTTCTACGGCGGACGTTCATAACGAATTTTGGCGATTTGTTTAAAGTCCTATAAGTAAATATAACGTTAACTAAATTGTGTAGAAAATAAGCGCTTAAAGGCAGATAATCAAATCAATTGTGTAAAAATGTATATTTAAAAATATATTTTCTTACATTGCTGTCTGCCGATAAAAAGAAATTTCTTTAACATTCGCAGGTATACATGGGGACCAATCATCATCAAGTTATTGTGACAAAAAATCCGGCTATCAACAAGTGATTAAGGCTATGCCTTCTTATTTTAAGAGAGGTCAAAATTTAGAATCGATACAGATTACGATGCTGGTGGTACAGCGAGTACTCGTTTATACTTTTAAGATATTCGCGATCTTCTTTCTGTTAGCAACACACCATATAAATACTAAAAAAAAAAAAAAAAATATATATATATATATACTAATAAAACCTGGCAAAAACCTAAAGAAATCCGAGATAAACTAAATGTATACATTCATGCAGGGTGTAAATTAGTTCTAGGAACGTAAATAATGTGTTTGTAGGTAACTCTGTAAAAAGATTTAGGAGTGTAATCAATTGTGTAGGCTGTTTTATGTAAGTAGACAAATTTTAAAAAGAGCGTTGAAATTGAAAACTAAATCAAAATTTATATTATAAATTGCTTTTATCTATTTTCAGTCTAAACAAATCTGAATCCGTATTTTGTTTAAATCAATAAACATATTGGTAAGTATTTTCCGAATCCCTAAAATGGTGCACACATACGACAGTGAACAAAACATTCTGATACTAATTAAGACTGAATGTCGTTATAATTAATTTCACAGGATATTGCACAAATATTTTACAACTTGTGATAATTTGCAGTTTATTTATATCAAAATTATTCGTTAAATTAGAAAATAAGAATAAAGTTTATAATATTTTAGCTCTTACAAGAACACCCATAACCATTTTTAAACAAAACACCCCTGAGGACTAAGATGGGATGTTTTACAGTGTGTAATTATTCTAGGTTTATAATGTACTTTAAAGCGTGACATAGATAGATACACTGTTGCTTATAGATCACCAATACAACAAGATAGACCTAAAGTTTTGTTTGAGCTATAGTGAAAGCGTTAGCTTTTGTATTTCAGTTAAAAATAATGTTTTTATGATTGTCCCATAATAATTATGCTTATAATTGGTCGTTTTATTATCTACATATTTTGTATAACTGTTACAAACGGTCAAGCACTCAAATTTATATATCTTCTTTACTTATATGACAAATTGATGAAGTTAATTTGCAATTTTTGAGCAAGGATTAAATATGCGACAACAAAAGCATCGTGGCAAAATAATGGATTTCTAAATGAAACTAATTTTAAGGATCTCGTTTAATTTTAACTTTTTAATCCCGACGTTTCGGGTGCTTTACAGCACTCTAGGTCACGGAGGGGACTGAGATTTTAGACGCTTCCCGATATCATAGTTAGCCGGGTTTTTTATTTAGTCACAGGAAAACTTTCACCATTAGATTGTTTCACACAATCTATTTAAAGGTAAGTGTACGGCGTTGCTCCTAAAGGCTAACATGGAATGTCTTATAACTAGAAAAATGTTTGCAGTTCTCGTTACTTACCATAATAAAATAGCCAAGGTATTATGCTGTTATTTTACCACAGTATTCATTATATCATGTTATATGTATGAGCGTGAGCCTGATTGGTATATATGACCCACTTGTGCTGCAGTGTAGCTCTATCATATAGTGCTACGCTTTTCAGTGTTTTAACACGTAATTTTTTGACTATCTGTTATTACAATGTTACGAGTATTGAAATCCAAACAGCTAAAGTATGCGTCGTGCTTAGTAAAGACACAAAGCTCTCCAAGATAAATGATTTTTTATGCGCCCGTGTATTGTTTTCTTTAAGAAATTCGAAAACTATATGAATAATATTTTTCCAATTGGTTCATGAAAATATAAATCTAATATCAAGTTTTTTAGAAAAGCTAGAGTAAAATTTTGTTTTTGTGAAAGTTTTCACCAGACGGTGGGATAGTGGTGCAGTACAAGCTGATAATAGTTTAAAGACGCCGTATGCATGATAAACTTGTTACGAAAAATACATTTCAAGTAACACGAGCACTTATCTTTATCTTTTCATTCGTTGGTATTTGATGCACATTATAAAACCGGTTTTTTTCAATTGTTAAAATATTACAAATAACCTATTTGAGGATGTATAATTTGTGAAAAAGTAATTGGTATAGTATTATTATATATAATCTTTGTAAAAACATAATTTTTTTTATTTTTTTAAAAATCTATGAAAGGCGTTAAATATTTTCATAGTACCCACCTACCTGGATGTAAAATGAATTTTCCAAATAAATTTTTTCTCTTACTCTTCACTCGGGCTATCCATACCTTTTCATGGAAACACCCAGATTCGTAATAATTATTTGTAGGTCGTTAAAATATTTGTTTCGTGCGAGAATTCCAGCCACAGCCTGCGGCTATATAGAATAAAGACTTTGTAATGCTATAATTAATATATATTTAATTAATTCTAGTCCTCATTACTTAGTTTTTAAAATAAAAAGAAGAGTGTAATTTCGAAAATAAATTATTTAAATTGTTTCATTTCATATTGCATTTATATTATATTGTAAAAGAAATAAGCTTGTTTGGAGCATGTGCAATGTCAGTTTCAGCGCCAGTTTTTACAGAAGTAACAATGATTTTTCAACTAAGTACATTATTAATATGAGTAAAGTTCACAATATAAGTAAGCTAATAATGCTTGTGTTAGGAATGATTCACGACACTACGCGAATAGCGGATTCGAAGTCACGACTTTTAAGTTCGCTATCCGTATTCTTAACTATTAAGCTACTGTCACTTGTTAGGTAAATTCACTAAAACAATAACATTATAAAATTATCTATAATATGTTAATAAAATGATGTATTGTATATATAAATACACGTAATGTTTTGCGAGTGTAGCGCGTACCGTACAGATAACACTTGTTCGTATGTTTGTAGATAGCGGTAAGTATAGATACATAGTGATTACAGGAAATATTAGTAATGCAAATTATCATAGTGTCGGTGACTAGGTATCACAATTTCACAGACTAATTTCTACATATAACAAAGCATAAACTGCCAGGAACTTTCACATGTTTTGAGTGTCACGTGTAACTTTTTTATTTTTTTGCCGCAAGTGAAAAGACTAGATAGATACCTAAAGCTAAATTTCAAAAATGGAACACAGAGTTCGCTTATATATACATTTATTTTTACAAAGTGATTATTAACATGACATTAAAATGTAGAATATTCATTATCAATTTTATATAATTTACGTAAGTATCATATTTAACAATATATTTTTAGAAAGCTAACCAGATTATTCTTTGATTTATGGAGATGGTTGAAGCGAGCCGCGGTTTCAAACCTAGGAAGTTTTAAACCCGTAATCATTACCTTAAGCCTAAACTACTTTATATTTGTGATACAATATCTAGCTTATCTCAGTGTAATTTGAAATACTAAATTAATAATCGAAAAAAGGAAATAGTTAAAATGCATTTCGTATTTTACTACATAAACTACGCTAATCTGCATATAGGTAACTACATACTTAATAGAATAGAATATATAATATTCTAAGTCTATGTTAACAACCAATTTTTTAGATAGCCCGTAACTATTTTTTGTAATTTAAATAATTTTTATTTATAAAATGGAAGCATTATAAATATGTACAAAATATAGCTAATATTGCGCAAATAAAAACCTTA